GTTGTACAAACAAATTTGTAATTAAATTTATTAATGAACCATCAAACTGTATAGTAACTTTGTTTAAAATAAATTTTTTTATTAATCAAGCCATACGCCAGCACATGAAATATACTTTTCCCAACGTGATACAGTTTGTATCTACACTATTTAGAAATTTGAACTCTTAAAGTAATAAATTCCTCAAAACAGTTTTGACTGCCACATAATTTTTTAATGCTTCATTTGTTAAAAGTTAATTTAAATACATATTTAAAGCACAACTTACATATTTTATTATTGATATTATATAATTTACTATCAATCATTATCTTACATCTTTGTAGTCACAATGTTGGTCTTCAATAGTTCTCTATCGGAGTTTAAAGTCATGTATTTGGTGACAATTAAGTGCCTGTGTGTGTGTGCAGGAGATTCCACCGAGATTATAAAAAACACACAAAAATGGTTGAAAATTCATTAATATTATTATTTAATATATTCCCTGCCTGCTTCCAAATAACATTTATCGCTCAAACAATGAATCGAATGAGAAAAAAAGAAAACGAGAAAATGTTTTTTTTTTTTTCGAATCTCGTCTTCAATTTTCGATCTTGTCACAGTCTGTTGGATTGATAACATCTCACTTTCCTTAAACTCAGATCTAATGCGATAAATCTCTTGATCGAGTTTATCGCATTAGGCCTAAGTTTAAGAAAAGTAGGTCCTAGTTTCTTCTGCATGACAACGCACCTGCATTGCATTCTTCAATCGTTGTGTCCGAATTTTTGATGAAATGAAAGATTTCTGTGTTAGCTTATCTTCTTTATTCGCCTGATTTAACGCTGACCTTTTTTTATCTTCTAAGTTAAAAAAGGGGACGAGATTTGAGAATGCGTCATCGACTTAACAACTTGTAACAAAAAAACTGAAAGCCATTCAAGAAGAGTTTTCTCAAGCATTCAATTTGTTATTAGCGATGTAAACATTGTTTGGAAACAGGTGGCGGATTGTATTAAATAATAATATATAATATTTTCGATCTTTTTTTGTTTTTTTTTCTGGTCCCATTTTTGTTTTTTTCAGTGCGGGAATTTAATTGTCACACCATATATTCATAAGCTCTTTGTTAATTATATTATATATTCATATTTTTTCAATTTTTGAAATTCGTATAATTTCCGCGATTCAAAATTCCAAATTTTTACGATTGTAATTTTTGGAAATATATTATAGAAAATTCGAAAAATTTTTAATAGTGTAATTTAGACCTTTACGTTGAAATTTTCAACCTTATAATTCTAGGAATTTCAATTCTTAAATGTGTGTTATAATCTAGTATATGGAAATAAATCGAGTTGTTATACGTATATTTATTTATACAAGACAAAAGTGTTTCGTATTATTAATGCAGATTTTATCATATTTGTAAAAATTGCAAAATATAATACATTATTAATGATCATATATACTAGCAACAGCAATAACCCAGGTAGCAAAGTGACGTCTTAATAACGTTTTAATGATATCTTTAACGTCAATAAGACATCATTAAAACGTTGCCTTGCTACCTGGCAGCTAATAATACATTTTACGGATAAAATACAAAAAAAAATTACAATATTAATTATGATAAAATTCAATTTGTTAATACTCTATAAAAATTTGTTTATTAAATATTTAAAAAGTATTTTGATACTCGTGATATGTACAAATACACAAACATAAATAGAAATAAAATAAAATCGAGCGAAAAATTTCTAAAACTCGATGATACACAAAAAAATGCGTCGCCTAGATCCTAGAGAAAAATTCATTAGCAATACAATCTTATCTTTTTCTGCAATTGTTTTATCTTTTCCCAAAATGTGTCTTCACGTGTTAGATACGTACATCTAGTGAAAAATAAAAATTCCTCGTGCCGAGTTGCACGCGCCTAAATGCAGCGTTAAGCCCTATTCTGGCACGCAACAGGAAACGCGAGCGATTCAGTTCGAACAATGCGGTTAAAAAAGCGTATGACACACAACAATACGGAACAACCGCGACAGCCGGTACGTATTGCGTTTTACACACGCATTTGGGAGTGTCGGTCGATATTGCACGCAACGTGCGAGGCAACTTTCGTGAAATCATACGTGAATCGTCCAACTGGATCGGAAACTTGCTTACACCGTTATTAAATGCAACTAATTATACAAATTATTCTCGTAATTCAACTTAATAAATATTTTCTGAAAATTATTCACTGTAGGCTTATGGTATACATAACTATATAAAGAGAGTAAACTTTGTTTCTGCGAGAATCGAAACTTACATACGCACATTACCGTTTATACGCTACTTTGTCACAATACCGTTATAAGAGGAATCTTCATTTCACATATACGCACATGTCTATAAATACTATTGGGGGCGGTGTAAGTGGTGCTCCCAAACTGGTTTTAGATAATTATTAAGAGACATAAATTACAGTCAGCGATTCATCATGATTATGAATAACCGGTTTCCCTGAGAGCAGGCAACGCTTCATACTTCGTGCTATGTTTGTACAAATCTGAAGGCGCAACAAACTACAATGTGGATGAGATACGGATGTGGTAGGAAATAAATATAACAATTGTAAAATTTGTGTGAACGTAAAATCCGAGTTTTTACCGTTATAAGAGGAATCTTCATTTCACATATACGCACATGTCTATAAATACTATTGGGGGCGGTGTAAGTGGTGCTCCCAAACTGGTTTTAGATAATTATTAAGAGACATAAATTACAGTCAGCGATTCATCATGATTATGAATAACCGGTTTCCCTGAGAGCAGGCAACGCTTCATACTTCGTGCTATGTTTGTACAAATCTGAAGGCGCAACAAACTACAATGTGGATGAGATACGGATGTGGTAGGAAATAAATATAACAATTGTAAAATTTGAACGTAAAATCCGAGTTTCGATATTATATACAATGGCTGCGTTCAGCAGAGAAAACTAATCAGTTAGCGCTTAGTGTGATTCTTTAATATGATTGGTTTTTGTCTTTAGTTCTTCGCTGGATCTAAATGTAAGAATCAATTACTAAGCTCTGATTAGTTTTCTTTGCTGAGCGCAGCAATTGCCATTATGTATATAACTGCTATTATTATAATTAACTTTGTTCCGTGCATGAATCAATACATATTCATATTATTTATACAACCATATATTCTCCAATTAGATATGCAACAAGATTACTTGAAATAAATATGATCGCAAAAAAATATGTGTCGTAAGATATGTAAGATTAGATAAATATTATTAATACTTATTTACATACATATATTATATCAATAAAATTGAAAAATATAGTAAAATTGCATATATTTTCTTTACATTTATTTATATTATAGATAATGGAATAGATAAATGTACATACTTCAATAATAATAAATTTATTCATATATATTAAAAACCTAATCAACATATTCTGATCACTTTTCTTACACTAATTGGGGTTTTGATATAAATAATGTACACTGTTAAATTCATAATGTACCCAATTTGAGTTACTTTTTCTCAGTTATTTTCTATAAGTCATATATTATTGCTCCTTGTTAATATGTCATTAATTTAATTAAAACAATAGGGGAGAATGGTTTAAATCGGACCGTGTTCCAAATAAGACCTTTTTAATTTAAATGAATACGGTTAAGCAGATTTTCGTACTGTTTATAATGTAAAGACACCGAACATGTGATAGCAGTTTGACAGTTCTGTCATAACATTCATAAAATAGAGGCAAATATGTATTTTCAGCCATCGTGCGAAAATTTTTTTAAAAAAGAAAATCCTTGTAAATCCATTATTTAAAAATTTGAAAAGTAATTGATTTAAGATAATTAAAGAGTGTAGAATTCAAAAATATCAAGCATTTCGTGATCACTTTTGCGGTTTATTATAAAATTTGTTCCAAAGTTTGAAAGGACCCGTGTCCAAATCAGACAGTACAATGAATAACTTATAGGCCTGGTTGTAGTATTGGTGATCGGCTGACCAGATCTGGTCCAAGCAATTAAATCAGTAAACTATCATGAGTCATCAGACTCAGATTAGTTGAGTTCTATTGATTTCAATTCTAATAATATAAATAATCAGTAATTTCTTTTTCCGAAAAAATTTTTATCTTTAACTGTCAAATTGCTCGTTACTCAATACTAAGAAAAATACATTAAAATTATCTAAAAATCCATAAAAATAGGAGTTTTCGATTTGAACCAGAGAATGGTCCGATTTGGAACGGTGGTTTCAAATCGGACCGGAAAAAGCGTTTTTACATTTTTCATTATAGTTTAACACAGGTGAGAGATACGTCAAAATAATCTGAAGCAAAAATGAAGGGAATTAAATGATCTTTCCAATGGCACCTTCGATTTTACGATCGGACTTTATTTACGCCTTATAGAGAGCAAAAACTGCAAATAGGTCCGATTTATACTACTCTCCCCTATATAGTTAAACAATTTATCTCAAAAAAATGTATTAAACTTGATTCGAATTTATTATTTACTGAGAGCACACATTAATGTATGTAGTTTACATTAAAACCCTGGTAAAAATAAAAATCGGAGTGTAAGTCGAATGTAATAGAAGCGTAAACGAAACTTTTAGGAGGCGAAAATTGAAACAACGGGACATACAAGAAGTGTAAACGCTTCTTTTACGTTTCGTTGTTTCAATTTTCGTCTCCTAAAAGTTTCGTTTACGCTTCTATTACATTCGACTTACGCTCCGATTTTTATTTTCATCAGGAAACCAACCACAAAAATTAATTAATCTAGACACACATGGAAGTTAAAAATAACAAAATGTAAAACTCAAGAGGTTTTGGGTCATTGCTCTTTTGATATCTAACAGTGTACGAAGAATAGACGCAATGTATCAGAAAAAAATTCTCCAAAAACTGGAATGACAGAAAATTGTGACAATAATGCTAAAAGTGTCAAGAAAATATTTTTAAAAAAAGCGTTTTGAATTATATCTGTACCAGAATATATTATTTTCAAACTGTTTGTATATAAGAAAGCACATCTTCTTTCAAATATCTCTTAGGCATACTTTCTTTGTCGGTTACGTTCCAGGAGAATTCCACTATAGCTGTAGGAATTAATCGTAATTCTAGGAGTGTCTTTCCATGACATTCTTCTATTAGCTTAATTCCATCTGGTGTTATCAGCAAAAAGGGCACTTTATCATCAACTAAGTTTTCGGCAACAAACTCGGTTACATTCTGGAACTTTTCGTGTACCGAGAAAGTACCTTGCAATATTATTCCGTCTGGAAATTTAATCCGAAGTACGGCAAATTTATATCTTCTAAGTACACGCTGCTCATCTTTCTCCCTCATAGCCTTTGTTCTTAGCATTTGGTTTCTTTCTATGGCTTCCGTCCTAATAATAATCAATGTTTTCATTTACGTATGTTATCTATATATTCCGAGAGATTCTGCCATCTAATATATATAAACTTACCGTAGCTGTTGTTCTTTTTTTATTTCTTCTGGAGTTATCGTGAAGAAGCTGGGTGGTAATTCATTTCTCATACGAGCTTGACTAGGCATTAATACTTGTTCAGCAGATCTTAATGCTTCATTTAACATCGTGAGATTTTCAATGTTACAATTATCAGGACTCCATACTAAGAAGTCTTCTTCGTTTTCATTATGCAGTAATTTTTGCTGTTCAAAACCAGCTGCTTTTAAGAAATCTAATGCTCCTTCAATAGGCAAAACCTTTTCCTATAAAAATATAGGTCATTATATATAAGCTATTTTAAAAATTAAAATTATTTTAAATAAATTATTTAAAAGAGACAGTATTACTTGGAATATTTTGTTACACATTCTAATTTTCCAATATTTCTCAACGTTCGGATTGTTAATAATATTGTCCAAATATTTGCCGAGTGTTTCTACACAACTTTCGATCTTCTCTTTTCCGAAATTGCAACTTTGAATAATTAGACATGCTGTTAATCCTGCTTCTTCTCCCATTAACTGTTCATATAGAAATTCTCGTATTTTCTTTTTCCACTCATCCCGCGACAAGATTTCATCAGATAGATATGGGCAACGGAAGAACACATCAGTAACTGCAAAAATAGAAGGATCTACAATTTTCTTCTCTTTTAATGTCACTGTATCTTCTGTCTGTTGTAAACTCTGCTGCTGTGCTGCTTTTCTTTCTAATTCCAATTCACGTTTAACACGTGCTTGAATGGCAGCATATGATCTACAAATAATCGTAATATTAATCAGATTGACACGATAAAAATTCTAATAATCTTGCTAAAATTAAATAATAATATATAAACATGTATAATAATAAATAAAAATAATATTAAATATTACACACGTATTAAATCTTGGTTTGTCATTTTTCTTTGCTTCTAATCTTGCTAGAGCAGCTTGACCTGCTATTTTAGCTTCCTCTGTAGGCTCCGCCCTCCTTATTGGTTCTTTAGGCTCTGTTGAAGAACATATAGTACTGGTAGAATCCGTTAATCTATATAAATTGAAAACAGTGCGATTAGATGTCATTAATTAATCTGTCGACGTTATTGCTAACTCTGTATCAACAATTGAAAGCTTGCTGCAACAGAGCTAATATACATTTTGTAAAAACAAAGTAATAAAATTAAAAACAATAAATTAAAGAATATAGGTTATGAAGTATATAGAATTTATATTAATAGAATATAAATGTTTCGACCCTCGATTTTGACCTTTTGATCAAGTAATATAATATTTTTTACATTACTTTAATTTTAGAGTATTTAGATTTTAATTTTAGAGTCCATTTACTCTGTTTTTACAAAATGTAGGTTAACACACTGTTGTAGCAAGCCCTTCGATTTATATTATTATTATTTGCAATTACTTGTATCCCTTTCCTGCTTTCACAAATTTTGAATTCGTCTTCTTTTTTTGAAAAAAAGACTTGATTTTATCAGCCATGTCTGTTATAAAGTCAATAGACTGTCCAGTAGTCAAATATCTAATATATTATTCAGTTGATGAATTACAATCTTCAGTAACGCCTGAAAGGTGTTTTATGAAAAATATTTAAAAATCATTGTTAATTTGTCTAAAAATTATCGCCATTAAATTACAATATTTTTATATATTTCTCAAATATAATATTAGGATGACGAAAAGATACAGATGTTGGTATCCTTTACATAATAATGATTTTTATAATTACGCGCAATAGGGAAAAGTGTTCACGCGATCTTACCTGTCTTCATGAATTGCTCCGTAATTCTGGAGCCATAAATGTGCCAAGCAACGAAGATCAACGCCACGCTGCTCAGAAATGTCAACAGGAAGACTTTGAGCAGTTGTAGCTGAAAATCGTCAAATGACAACAATGCTATCAATTCGTGGAGAAATTCGCGGAGCTTCAACGACGTTTCGTCATCAAAGATAACGATGTCGCCAAAATTAAAGGTTAGACCGAATGTCGTCGACAGAAATGAAAACAGGTTGAGCACGTATTTATTGATCGCCTCCGACAAATAGTTCGTCCAAGGACACGAATCCTCACATGCGCTGCTCATCACATGAGAGAGAAACTCTTTCTATCGAAATTATCACTTGCACTCAATTCAATCTCGAACTTATCGAAATTCTTATCGCAGCTGATAGCAAATTGCAGCAAAAGACCAAAAGTAGCTGTAGCACGATTCACAAAATATTAAATGTTGGGAAGCCACGCAAGTTTCCAATCATCACACCGATCATGACACCGATAGGCTACAATTCGAAGATTGCGACGTCTTTCTTGATGAGTTTTGGAATGCGTGAAAATTGTAAGATCGATTGAAGAAAAAAGGGATATCATCATGAAACTTTATCCCTAGGATGGAAAGTGAAAAGTGAAAAATTTCCCATTAGCTTCAATGATAAAAATTTTCACTTTCTATCCTAAGAATAAAGTTTCACGATTGATACCAAGATTTCGAAGCCATATTAGGACTACCCAGTTTCTGCCTCTATGCGAAAAATTTTTCATTACTTTCCAAACACCCTGTATATTCTCAAATATTTAGACCTAAAACAATATTCGTATTTTTGTGTGCGTATATTACATGACAATTAAGTTAGCAATTTATAAAAATATTTTGATATTTACAAAATGTTACTTTATTATAAGAACTTTTCTATTACATTATTTTTATATTGCAATGTACAGGGTTTGTGCAAAAGTTATTCGTAGCGTTATTTCGATTTGTATAATGTTTACGTATGTAAAAAATTTGGCAATTCCATAAAGTAAAATTTAAATTTTAAGAATCTATTATTTGAATTGTGATGAGAAATCAAAGTTAAAATGCTTCTTTTATTTAATCCGCGATAACTCAGTATAACACAAAATCTTAGAAACATTGAAAGTCTTAAATTATTTCAAGGAAGTTATAATAATTCCGCAAGCACTATGATATTTGTAATTATTTTTATCACCTAACAGCGATAAATGAAGAAAGATATCGTGTGTCATTGAGAAGTTTTTAAATATACATAATTAAAATACATGCTGCCTATAAAGCATAAAATGTGTACAATCTAGCTATAATATCTCTATAAAACTATTATAATTAATTAACATGTATATTTACAGTTTGAAAATAAAAACTAGATAAAATAAACTGCAGTAATATTTTAGGTCGTAATTTATAATACGGGACCATATTATAATTATAATGAAAAAAAAGGAGATTAAATTAAGTCTATAGGTTGAATTAACCTCTGATTAAATTAATCAATGTTTAGTTATAGTTTAAGATTGTCGGTATTCCAAAACTCATCGAAATGAGTAACATCTGCAAATGTTTTTCATGATTGTGTATTACTTAAGTTACAGTATCGGATTCAAGGTGGCACTGGAAATCACGACCACAAAGTGCAGCGGGTTCGCGAGCTTCTGTTCCATCTAGTCCTCGCTGAATAGTGACAGTGCTTTTGTGAGAGCGCTGTGAGTTCCGTCTGCTTCCGTCTATCAATTGATTATCTGTAATGACTACACTGTATATATCTATACTGTGATTGAATTATCATAGGTCTCGTGCGTAATCGGAGTAGATTTGATACTTGAGGGGAACCAATAATCATGGTTCAGCAATACCAATCGCCCGTGCGAGTTTACAAGCATCCTTTCGCTCTTGTCATGATGGTGTGTTTAATACTATGTGGCCTTCAAACTTGACTGTCATAAAATATTTATTGCATTTCGTGCTCCTATGTCCTTCACAGAACATATGCCATATCCCAGAAAATCCAATAAACGATTTCTCATTGCAAATACCTATATTGAACTATATGGAAGCAGCAACTATCTTTTAAATGTCCCTTTCTCTTTTTTTGTTTCAAGTTTTTTTTAATTTCGACTGCACACAAATTTTTTGTCTTTGATCTTTTTACTTGTCAAGTATTCCATGAGTTATTTCAATACATTATAATATGATACACTGAGCGAGCAAAAAGAAATTTAAAAAAATCTTATTCTTTCTTTTACAGGCATATGAGCGTAGGTTTCCAACTTGTCCACAGATACCAGTTTTTATTGGATGTGAAATTATGTTAGATGAAGAGAGCGAGGATAGTGCTGTTAGAACCACAGAAAGGCGATGTAAATTAAATGTTGAAGCACCTTATATCTTAAAAAAGGTTTGTTCATATATATATATATATGTATATAAAAAAGTTAGATTGTCATGTACACTTATTCTGATACTTAGTTTGATAGATCTAAAACATCTTATATTTTCAATATTAGATTTGGTAATTTTTTTAGAAAATAATATAGATGTAAAAATATTTCTTAGAGAACTAAAATAATTTCTTATTAGTATAAATCCTATATTCATTAATTAGTAATTTATTTCAGATAATTGGTGTGGATTTTGTATACTTTATTCAAAGGAATGTTTTAAATAGGCGCAATAGTGTTTTAGAAATAGAAGCATACAATGAAAGCTTTTCCACTAGAGTAACTGTTATTGAAAAATTTAAATATTTTGTAAGTATTATATATAAATATTTATTATAAAAAAATATGTAATAATCATAATAAATTTTATTTATGTATCCTTATAAACTTTTACTTTATATTAGAAATACTGTATCTAGAATATTTTCTAATTATATATAATAATTATACAATCTAATACCATTGTTTGCACACACATATTTTTAGATTCACCCTGAAAATCCAGAATGGACTTGCTTCGAGCAAACTGCAAGTTTAGATATTAAAAACTTTTTTGGTTTTGAAAACTCAATGGAAAAGTTAGCGATGAAGCAATATGCACAAAATATTGCTAAGGTAATATATATAATAATTACTATATCATACCTATTTTTAAAATAACAGATATGATAGAGAGTTATAATAAAATAGAAATTATAATTTTTTTATTTCCTAAAATGTAATTACATATTTAATTACAGGGTAAGGAAATTATCGAATATTTTATAAATCAATTGAAAGAAGAAGGTATTACCTATGTTGCTGCTTGGGAAGATCCACAGAAAAGATCTTCTGAAGAAGAAAAGTAAGTATAGTGCATTAAGTTAAATGTAATGCATTAGAGTCTCTTTGTACAATTTAATTGCATAAATTTCACATTGCTTGTAAGGGAACATCATGCTGGACGAGCACATATACACACTCACATGTATACAAGTGATTGTTTCTGTAAAATAATATTTAAAACCTTAATTGTAACGTCTTGCAATTTTAATTTCCAGCCTTAAACATTTAACACATTTTACCTAAATTCATACTAACAATTTATATTGAACAATATTTTCGGTCTGCAATGGTTACTTTTTTTATATAGGAAAAATGTGGACGAAAATAGTGAGCTATATAGCGAAAAAGAATTATGTAATACCGACAACAAACTACCCAGCAATAGAGGTATATTACCTTTTTGATACATGTTATTTTGCTATAATAGCTAGTAGTTAATTTTATGTTTGTTTTCTTTAATTATAGAAATGCAACTATCATCGGATTATATAGAGAGATACTTAGGAAAACTAGATATGCTTCAGGAAAGCAAATTAGTGCAGCTTAGACATAGCATTGAAGAACTAAGGGGTAGTTCCGTACCAGGTTATGCAACGCTTCTACGGTTCTTAAGGGCCACGGAATTCTCTGTTGAAAAGGCTAGAGAAATGTTAACACAATCCTTACATTGGAGAAAGAAGCATCAGATCGATAAACTTCTAGACGAATATGAAATGCCACAAGTGGTTAAAGATTACTTTCCTGGTGGCTGGCATCACTTTGATAAAGGTAATCGTCTATAATAAACTTGCTGCAAATGTCACGCTATCCTAAGTTATGGTATGAAGAGTAATGAGTCAGTACATGTGATATAAAAGAATATCTGACGTATCACATCTTCTATTTATATATTCTTTGATGTAGACGGACGACCTTTATATATCTTAAGGCTGGGTCAGATGGATGTTAAAGGTCTACTTAAATCTATTGGGGAAGATGAATTATTATTATTAGTAAGTTATTAGTAAGTTAAAATGTTTTAAAATTGAAAATTTTTCAAAGTGATTTAATAATATCTTATTTTTCTATAGGCTTTACATATCTGTGAAGAAGGTCTGCACTTGATGGAAGAGGCTACTACTGTTTGGGATCATCCGGTCTCCCAATGGACACTATTGATAGATTTAGAAGGTTTAAATATGCGACATCTATGGAGACCTGGAATAAAAGTATGATGATTATTTTAAATATATACCATAAATGAAATATAAATTTTAAATGAAATAAATACTTATAACTATAATTCCTTAATATACTGTTATAAATTGTTATACTGTTAAATCTAATAATTTTATATTTGCTTAATTTTTGCTTCAGGCATTATTGAGAATAATAGAAATAGTTGAAGCAAATTATCCAGAAACAATGGGAAGGGTTTTAATCATGCGTGCTCCCAGATGTTTCCCTATTTTGTGGACACTTATCAGCACTTTTATAAGTAGGAATTTTTTCAATTAATTTAATTATATAATATAATATTTTTCTAATCATATGTCATATATCAAAATTGCAGATGAAAATACTAGGAAAAAGTTTATTTTTTATTGTGGTACAGACTACCAAGAACAGGGACCCGGTGGTCTTAATGAATATATTAATCAAGAATTTATTCCTGATTTTCTCGGTGGTTCCTCAGAGGTAAGATATAATAATATTAATAATATTAAATGTTGCAAATATCGCACTTAATATGAGTACTTAATACATAATTGTGAATAGAGAGAGTTATGAATGTAGTTTTTATATTAGTCTTTATATTAGTATAAAAGACATTTAACAGGTTTTATATGATATATTTATTAATAACTTATTTTGATCATATTTTCTTAAAAAGAATACAATATATATTATTTTATAACGATTTATGATATATATATATCATTAAAGGATTATAATAATTTTTTTAATACGTTACTTTTTGAATGTAATATTTTATGAAATTTCTAATTATCTTTCTTTTTTCCTTTGGAAAAAAACAATAGTGCCGTTTTTTATATTTATTTACGTTGGAGTAATATATTTTTTGTATACGTGTTGAATACTAGGAAATGAATATATGCGAAGTCTATAATATGGTACCTCGAAGATTTTACATTTTCGACGCAACTGCGAACAGCGTAAGAAAACGATACAAAATTTATGTTAAATATGTTGTAGAAATTTTTTCTGCAGCTAACTGGCTTTAGTGAAAAAATATGTGACGTTTTTATAGTTATTAAAAAATGCACATTGTGTATATCATTATGTATATATTAGAAATATCAAAGAAATTGGTCAGAAAATTGTCATGTATAATATCAGCAGTTGCTAGATACATAGGCATTGTCCGTGTCATATTCGTATGTTTTTATCTGTGATCATCTACGCCTGAGAGAAAACCATTTTGTGTAAATCATCTATGTCGTCATAATTTTGTTATTCATATATAAAATACAGGAATTTTATCGATAGTCTACGTTGAAACATTTATCTGTGTATTATCAAATATATAGTTTTAAGATATGATCAAAATCATGTACTTATACATATAATGCACGCAAGTTCGAGCACTAATTCGGAAATATAGATTAACACTGCGTGCACAAAAAGTGAAGTAATTTTGCGTATTCTTGCTAGTTAAATTTCAGAGTATTTTATACAAATTAAGCTCAAAGCATCTATCAATGAAACATATTAAATTACATACTTAGACTTTGAATAAATTCACGAAAGTTATTAAATATCTGAAATTTGATTAGCTATTAATCTTCACAAAATTTAAAATTTTAAATATCTTTAAGATTATATAAGTAATCTAAACAAATACAATTAAATATATGTCTAAAATTGGTCTCTTTTTATTATAAATATCAGACATACGTAATGGAAGGTGGAGTAGTACCGAAAAACTTATACAGAGTGGATTTGGAGGGTACTACCGGTGAACACGAGCACAGTCTGTATCATTCTATTAGCTTAAGCCGTAGTCAAACTCATCATGTGTTCATAGAATCGGATGATCCGGGTGCTGTCCTGACGTGGGATTTCGATGTAATGCGTCATAATGTAATATTTACAGTACTTCACAAATCTCGAAACAGTGAAAACGGTGCTATTTCAGGTATATTTTAATATTAAGAACAGTGTTATGGTGAAACAAATATAACATTTTTTAATTAAAATTAACGATATAATATGTACAGTTTACAAGCAATAATTATTTTATAGAACTTCCAGAGCTTGCAATAGGGGGTGATCATGAAATCGTTGCTGCAAAAGAATTGAAAGATAATTACATTAAAGTCGAACATAGCATAATTTGTCACGATGGTGAAAGCATCCAAGTATGTATTCATGTAATTTGTGTACTATATTGTATTTTTAGTATTGTATTTAGTCAAATTTAGTGTATTTTATATATTTGATGAAGTCAATATTTTTAATATTTTTATATCCACATATCGCTCATTTGTTACAATAACTATATAACTCAAAACTGTTATTTTTTAGTTGCTTGCAGAAAAGAACGGAAACTTAAAAAAAGAATATACTTCAAAAGAATTTTTATTACAATCAGTTATTATACTTAAATTGCACTTAAAAATCAACATTACAAAATTTTAATTATTTGGAAATAAATATTAAAATTTATTTTCTGGAAAACTTTGTTTTTTGAGTCATTGTTTAGTTGTATAGTTGTATTGTAGCAAATAAGCTATCATATCAGTTACAAATTGAACGAAAGATTTGTACAAAAAGACATAAAAGTATATTCTTAATATAATATTTAATTAATTCTTTTGTATTTTAATTTATTATCATATTAAATTATAATTATTATAAAATATTATATTATGATTTAAATTATAATTTATTGTTTCTTCTGTGTTAAAGAATTTGCATATAAACATATTTATAGTAATATAAAATTTGATATATATTATTTTCTCGTAACTTATCTATTTTTACGAATAATTGTATGCGATTATTTTGTACATATTAATAATTATAATTACATAATTATTACTTCTATGGAATTATTAATTCTTTTTATATCATAGGGTACTCATATCATGCAGGATACAGGTACTTATGTATTACAATGGCAAAATCAAGAAGACCAAGTCGAATTTCTTCCATCCATTAGCTCTCATAAGGCTCAACTTATGTACTTTTATGAAACATTACCATCTGCACATTACAGGTACTTATACATATAAGATATATATTTTCCTGGTAGAATAATCTTATAATGATACTTTTTTCCTTCAGAGGTTCAATGATGAGTTTACAGTCAGCCATAAGCGGAAGGTCAGAGGCTAGTTCATCCTTATCCAGATGAAAAGCAATGAGTACGAACGTCGAATTGCAGGAGACATGAAATTTCATTCGTAATATTTTAGTAATATGCGTTGTAAAAATACGAATCTCATTTATGTTTAACGGAGCTAAAATACAATTCACATTTTAGTCTAATATTTTAATTTTGTTGACGCGGTAAAGCTTCTCTCTTTATTCATAAAGAATTCAATGCTGTTCCAAATCTTAAGCCTAAAATACTCGTTTCCGTAACTACATAACCGATGTTATCATGTTATATACAATATATAGTTGTTAAGCAATAATACAGTATATAATAATGTTACCTAATATATTTAAACTTTATTTTTTCATATAAAAATAAATTAGATGAAATTTAATACTCAGAATAAAGTCATATGTACATTTTAGAAATCATATTGTAATATAAACAGTAGAAATCTCACTGCAAGAGCATATTATAGTTTCAAGCTCCAAAGTGGACGATAATCCAAATTGTGTAAGTGAATTGTGATTTAATATTAATTTATATATACATATATTTACATAAAGAACACGGGTAACAGAAAACGTTCTTCCCTCATAAACTTACATTTTACTAAAATTTCGTCTTAAAGAAAAATGCATAAGCATACTAATTTTTATAGCATAATAGTAATTTTATATGTTAGAGTGAAATTCCATTACATTCCATTGTTGAGTGATAGAACACATATTTACATCATTTTTTACATACTTCCACAAGACATATTATGCAAGAAGATTAATAATTATGTAATAACAAGTTCTCTAATTAGAGAATTGATAAGAAGAATTATAGTTTAGAACAGGCCTGTCCAATTTAAGCTCCGGAGCCAAAATGCAAAGCTATCGACGCAAAACAATTCAATGTGAGTAAGATTTCATGGACTGTAAAATGTTGATAAGTATCGCTCAGGCGCGTATCAACACTACAGTCTCCGAAATCTTACCCATGTTGATTTTTTTACATCAATGGCTTTGCGTTTTGGCTCTGGAACTCAAATTGGGCAGACCTGGTTTAGATTAATTTATTATTGATATATCTTGTTCAAATTAAACATCGCAGTAACTATAGTTTCAAATCAAGCTACTTAGAAATTAATAAGAACATAATAACATTTAATAATTTATTATGTGCCAAAACAAATGTAAAAACTAATAAAAAATATTTTCAGTACAATAGAACAAATTTTATCATAAATGAAAGTGGAAAAAACTAGTTTTGAGGTAACAATATAATTATATACGGAATATAATTTATCATTTATTTATTAAATATATGAATGTTTTGGCAGTAACATAATATTTTAATAAATCTGTTATTGTTAACTTTCTGGTAATCTACAAACAAGAGTCCTTAATTTTAGATGTAACAGTATAAATTATCTAATAAGTTAACATAATGATATGTAAATTAATAACGATTAATTAATTCTAAAACGCAGGATACTCGAAACATATAAATTATAAATAATTATAGTCAATTACAGTGCATAATATAAAAATAATGTTAAGAATGCTCATACTTTCGATGGCAAATATATGGAAATATAAGCTGAAAAAGCTTTCGTGTAAGAAATTATCTTTAATCATCAAAAGACATAATTTGTGAGAACACAAACTCTATTATCAATTCATTATATCAATAAATAGAAATCTCTTTCTATGTCTTCTTAACAAATTCTGTCTTGATGATTACTGATTACAACTAATAGTTCAAGTGAGAAAACATATTTTTAAAATGCAGATTTTTAGAATGAACACAGAACACATGTGTTTTTACTAGGATATATAGCGAAATGAAATTGTATGGCCGGCCAATAATTGTTAAATAGTTAGTTAAAAATATCACGTTTATCGTTCATCACTGTAAGATATAATTAGCTATTTTAAAATGTAGTATAACTAGTATACGTAAAACGTGTAACAGATTATTATATTATGTGAAGAAATAGGATGTATACATGAGTATACAATTTATTGTTTTAATGATAGACAGGAAAAATTTGTAGAATTTATTCCATAGTATGCAATTTGTGTCTTCTTTACGACTAGAAACTATGTAGCAACTAAAAAATTACAACATTGTCTCAAAGTAAGGGAAAAATTATGTACCTATGTCACTAATTTGAAATGTCACATAATATAGCGACGTAGCTAGTAGTACTGTTATTTCTATTGTCATCACATACAACATTGAAGGCAATAAAGTTGAAACAGACTTATTCAAGAGGATTATTATTGTGAATAAAAAACCCGCTTTCAAATTTTAATATTTTATAAGCAGTAAATAAATGTGATACATACTAGGGAATTTTCTTAAATCAGGATAAAGAAAGTAACAATAAAAGTATAGTTTAACAATTTCTTTGCAGTTTTTTTGTAACACTTCTATAATTCATATGGAGAGTATATATACTTCGCAACCGTACATTTACGCATTCATTGTGTACAGAGTAATTGTATATGTGAAATCGTTCGACATTACTAGACTAGGGTATACATATACACATATAGTATATATTCCCAGAGCTACATATATCGGATATCCTTACATATATCATGCAGGAACTCTTATACTTTTCAATCCATTTCAAAAGAGATAAAATATAAAATTATTTCGTATTAAAAGTTATTAAATACGTAAAAAATTCGCTCTTTGTATAAAAATAAAGAGACGAAGTACAAAAATCGTATTTCTATTTACCCGCGTGTATATAGCGTTACGTAATTTTGCAACGTGACTATTTGTTTAAAAAGATTAAAAATGTAATACAGTAGGTATATGCCTATATATTTTTATTGTAAACCAGAAAATTTTTATATTTAAATTTTTTTTTCAACATATCCATATCTAATATGACCATGAATAAATGAACTATTTGAAATATAAACAATGTGTATACATAATAATATATTATTATAAATAAATTATACTTTTCTTTCATTCTTATAAAAAATAAAAAAATTGCAAATATATTATCTTCATCACTTTTTATGAGATATACTCATCATGTTTCTTAATAAACACTATATTGAATAAAAAATATGCAGAAATATCTTACAAACAAATTTATAATAGTTTGTAATGATAAATTAATAATTCAAATCAGGAGCGGCCCTTGAGGTAGGCGACCCGGGCAACCGCTCGCGGCGCCAGGGCATTGAGCGCCGCTCAATGAGGAAAAAAATTACTGTTAAAAAATTGATGCACAATTCCTATAACAGTTGCTAGTAGGGAACGTAGCTTTAGTAAATTAAAGCTAATAGAAACATATTTGCAGTCTTCCATGAGTCAGGAACGGTTAAATTTATTGGCATTGTTGTCGAGAATGCGTTGATAAACTTCATTTTAGTGAAGTAGTGAAGGAGTTCGCTGACGTGAAAGCAAGAAAAAAGTTCATGTGAAAGTTGCCAAATTTGAGGAAGAGATAAAGTTTTTTTATAAGATAACAGTTTTTTTTAATTTGTATAAAAAACCGTTTAAACAAAAATACTATATAAAAAAATAATAATTAAAAAAATAAAAATTTTTTTTATCTAAAAAATACAATAAAAACATAAAAAACAAAAACATTAAGAACAGGATCTTGTTTGCTATGTCCTCGTTGTGATCCTGGGTAGTGCACAGAGCAAACGTGGCAAGAAAGCCACAAGGGGGGAGGGGCGACTTTTAAATTTTTTGCCCGGGGCGCCATAATTCCTCGGCCTGGCCCTGATTCAAATAATGTAATATTATATATGTAAATATCAGGCAGATAGTTTGGAATGTTTTTTCCATTTTTTAATCTTCGATTTTAGGCATTATAAAAAGGATGATTGTGATTATTATATCACAATGATTTTAAAAATGATATAAGAAGTATATCAAAATAATTAGTAATTATGCTTGGATTATACGAAGACTTATAAAAAAATATTACATTTTAAAGAGAATAATTCATGTAAAATAATATGAACATTTGTAAATGGAAGCTTTTTTTAAATTTTTCAATATCTTTTCTCGCAAATATCAATTCTGTTTTCACTGGACTTAGAGTATATCAAATCGAGTATATAAAAAATTGACATTGTGGCTATTATGTATGTCTTTGACTATAAAATTATAAAATGATTATACATATTTAAATTTCATGACTAAAATGCATCAAGAAAGATGTATGTAATACAAATTCTTGGCAGGACTCTTTTGGTGAAAGAATATTCATATGATTATAGTCAAAGATATATATAACTTAATGCAACATTATTATACTTTGGCATTTCTCTTTTTATACTTCTTCATAAAAATGCTAGTAGTATCAAGCAGGATTGGGAAATAACACGTTACTTGTAACGCCGTTACCGTCACATTTTTAGTAGCGAATTTGTAACGACGTTATATTTTTCATTAATAACGATAATAATAACATAGTTACATTTTTTGTATAATGATAACAAATATTATCGTTACTTTGTACAATACATATATACTGATACAAGCGAGTTTTTAAAAAAGAGAATATTATAATATGTTTGACTGTGTATTGTGATTAATCATATAATCGTAATCACTATATTTTTTGTTAAACCGGTCAATTAGCAATTGGATGTTATTCTAAGAAAAAGATCATTAAATTTGGAAAAGTAATGGAAATTATAATGACTCACTACTTTTGAGATAACAGTAACAAATTACTTTTTCCAGGTAACAAGCAACGGTAACGAATTATTTCTGAATGAGTAACGGTAACAAGTTGTTGCTAGAAAATTATCTTTAAAAAAAAGACGCCAAATACATGCGCTCCTAAAAAATTAAGTGTTATACAAGTACTTTTAAAAAATAAAAGTGGTATGTATAACCCAAGTAATAATAACTTTAATTTCTTGTTAAAAAATAATAATATCACATTGCGCCAATTAAAATAAAACTTTTGCATGTTATACTATCTAATGCAATCCAAATGATTCAATGAGTAACGTTTAACAATAACGAGTTAAATTTTCAATTTTCCCAATCCTTATATCAAGTTAGCATAACATCTGTTCATGTCGGCCTCGAAAAAAAACCTTAACTTTTTCAGTCCCATGATTTAACATTGTCTTATATATTCCGAACTATAATTTCTACATATTAATTAATAGATAGAGGTCGCTAATACATACTGTAATATTTGGCAGAAAAATACATCGGATAGGCAAATCTCCTCAAAGTATAATATGAAATAAATATCTGACAATATATAAAAATCTCTTTTGGCATATTTTTAAGTACTGGTAACACCTTTACGAGCTACTAAAAGATTTAATACTGGATGCTTTCTTATATAAGAAACTGCTTTCTTGTGAGTTACCATTGTAAAATCATACCCATTACATTGTAATATCTTGTCATGCATTCTGAGACCACTTTTTGCCGCCGGTGATCCGTCGTGTACTTCCGTTACATATATTCCCTTAAAGAAAAGATTCGTTTCTATAAGCTTTTTTATGTTATCTTTATATTATATACTTTATACAGGATGTTCTATTTTAAATAATGCATTAAGATTTTTCGAAAACTATGGTAGATACGGAAAAATGTTTCAAACAAAAGTTGTATGGTTTGGAGGGGAACATAAGAAGGTACCATTAATTTGACCTAAGGTGGCGTCGCCAAAACCAGGTCAAGGTCACGTCGATTTTTTTAAATGGGACCTCCTATTTTTCATTACATTTTCTTGTAGCTTACCTCGAGAGTGTTTTTTCAAAACACTATGATAAATTATTTTTTTATCAAGTATTTTTTGAGTTATAAGGCTCGAAAGTTACAGTCAGCATTAGCATTATGCAAATTGTCCGACCGACAGCTAAAACTTCTTGAATGTTGTTCAGGATCATGTCCTGGATAACATTTGTCAAAATCAAGGCCATTGGAGATTATTCCTCTTATTTTCATTTTTGCACTAAAAATTCATTTTTACGTAAAAATGAAAATAAGAAGTACAACCTCCAATGACCTTGATCTTGACAAATGTTATCCAGGACATAATTCTGAACAACATTCAAGAGATTTTAGCCGTCGGTTGGACAACTTGCGTAATGCTAATGTCAGCTGTACTGTAAGTCTCTGCCTTATAACTCAAAAAATACTTAATAAAAAAATATTTTATTATAGTATTTTAGAAAGCTCTCGAGATAAGTTACAAAAAAATGTAATGAAAAATAGGGGGTTCCATTTAAAAAAATCAATGTGACCTTGACCTAACCTTGACGACGCCATCCAAGGTCAAATCAATGGTACCTTCTTATGTCCTCCTTCGAACCATACAACTTTTGTTTGAAACGTTTTTCCGTGTCTACCATAGTTTTCAAGAAATCTTAATGCATTATTTAAAATGGGACACTATAATAACGCTATATTTTCTACACACATACACACACACACACACACACACAAAATATGATATCTTACATTATCTGTATAACCCTGTGGACTTTTTGTAAAATCCTGATCAATACCCCCACCGATTTTAAATCCACATTTCATCACTTCTTCACCGTTTTCATTAATTTCTGTCTCTTTGTGTAATGTAATTGGTATCTATAACAAATCAATAAATGTATATGTCACATATATAATGCAATATATATGATATATATAACACACAAATATAAATGTAAAAAGAATATGGATATAATAAATGAAAGCTGATGAGTCGAGTTGATTCTTCATGATAATGTATTTTACAAAACAGTATATACAAATTAGTAATTAGTATGTACATACAAATTAATAACAAAGTCACAGACGTTTCGACATTCAATACATGCGGTCATCTTCAGTATGCCAATCAAGTAAAATAAATCAAAACAAAATTAAATATAGATGTTTAAATTAATTATGGAACTATCAATATTGTAAGCATGCGTCGAACCACAATTTTTAACATTCTGTAGACAACAGTTTTAAGAAAATTGATTTTTAATTTTTGCATCAATATTCCATATTTGAGTGTCTACATTTTATTTTGTTGATTATTTGACTTGGTTGACACTAAACATAATTGTATATATAAAGGTCGAAATATCTGTGACTTTGTTAATTTATGTTTAATAACTTGTAATACATACTTATTAGCATTAACACGAAAAACCAACTCACAATCAGTTCATCGGCCCTTATTTATTATCCTTCATTTATCCATTATTAATCTTATGAGCCTAAAAATCACAATTTTTAATTTTTTAAAAAGGATCTATTATTGCAATACTTATATCCGTTCCTTTTAAAGCACAGTTTTCCAAAGGAGAATAGATATTCTTATAATCAAAACTATAACATTTAATCCACTCCTTAAATAAAACTTAAGTAAAACTCAAGTTTCATTTAAAAATTTCTGTCATTGTTATAACACAAGCCCTTTACTGTCTCACACATCTATTAATATTTCATTAATATTATATTACATTAAAATATTATATGTGTTATAAAAAATTCTGAACATTGTTGCGAGATAGAAATGAAAAAGACAACCCGCTATACTTTCCTAACAAAAGGGCGTGTGTCGTGGACAACAACTATGTGATAAAATCTGCATAAAATCAGGATCCCTACGCTTAGGCACTCCATCGCGGTACCCGGCTGATGTTGAAAAGCCATTTTCGCGCACATAATCAAGTGACTGATCGGGCTCTGCCACGCGCTCTTTCCTTTATAACAAATTCCCTCCCTGACTCAAGTTCAACCGAGCGATGACGCACGACTAATCACAACTACTTAATAACCAATCCACGGCCCGTTCCTCGACAATGTGTACTGCGCAACGTGTGATTTAAACGAACGAGAAATTTGCCCGCTAATGAATGTTGGAGCAGCAAGACTTCTTGTCAATTTTGGAGCGCAAACAGATGATCACTTAAAGCGGATCTATATCGAACAGAACTCAACGTCTTGACAGCCATGCGTAAAGCGCAAGAATGACCATGCGCCGATGCGCGTGCAATCGGTGCGTTCCAAAACTCATCGAGACGGGAAGTGTCCGATTGCTTTGCTTTGCCGCGGGTGTACGTAATTTTTATAATTATTTATTCGTTAAATAAAAAGTATTTTTAGAAACCGAAAGAAAATACAATGTCTCTTCAATCATCTAATAATCCATTCCATGTTCAACCTGGCATACATGGTTTTTCGACACGATATGAAATAAATACTTTTAGGTTATAATGTTATATATTTTATATACTTTTTTCTTTAAGTAATAATTTTAATACGCTTGACAAATTTAATTCTAAATATAAAACAGCAATTATTTACGTATAAAGTATTAATAAAGTATTTTTAACGAAAAAAAGAATAAATATCTTTTATTAAAAACAAAATATTTAATTTTTTTCACTATCCGGTAAAAAGAGGACAGGGGGAGAGCGTTAAAATATTTTATGATAAAATTTAATTTATTAAGAATCTTTTTGACCGAAACAAAAGATTAAGCATAAATTAGTCTGAAAGAAAAAATAAAAGAATGATATGTTCAATAGGAACAGATAGTGGTTTGGAAAACACTGTCAGATTTGACAAATATTATAATGCTGAAGCACAATTTCTTAAAGACATCGTGGTGTAAATTGCGCACGCGATATACACACAAGAATGCTTCTCTCTCAGAGGCATCCAAAAGTAAAGAGTGTGCAATTGCGAAGATACGTAACATAGGGATACTGGCACATATTGACGCTGGTTAGTACTATTTTGATTGATTACTCTATTAATATTATTTTATTAATTATAGTAAATAAAACTTACTTGATTTTCTTTGATTGATATGTTTAGATACGAATAACTATATTTTTCTTCAGGAAAAACGACCACGACTGAAAGGATGTTATACTATTCGGGTCTCATCAGAAATATGGGAGAAGTTCATCATGGCAACACAGTGACTGATTATATGGAGCAGGAACGTCAGCGTGGAATAACAATCACCTCAGCTGCAGTCACGTTCAATTGGAAAGACTATTGTTTCAATTTAATAGACACCCCTGGTCATATTGACTTTACTATGGAAGTCGAGCAGACTTTGCAGATATTAGATGGTGCAATTATAGTTCTAGATGGATCTGCTGGCGTGGAAGCCCAAACATTAACAGTTTCCAGACAAGCAGACAGGTATAATATACCTCGGATAATCTATGTCAATAAAATGGACAGGGCGGACGCTGATTTTAATATGAGTTTACGATCTATTGAATCCAAATTAAACGTAGAAGCACTACCTATTCAGATCCCTGTAAAGAAGGCAGGAGTCTTAGAAGGTATTGTAGATGTGACAACTATGGAAAGGTTAATATTCGATAAAAAAAATCAAGGTATGAATTTAATAAAAACAAAAATAACTGAAAGCGAAGATGCAAGACTATGGAATATTGCCAGTGAACAGCGACGACTATTGACCGATAAGCTATCAGGCTTAGACGACAAACTGGCAGACATTATTATAGAACAAGAGTCTCTGGATAACGTACAGCCACAAATGTTGGTTGATTCCTTACGCAGAGTCACTATAGGTAGGAAAGGTGTGCCTGTAATGTTAGGAAGTTCATATAAGAACATTGGAGTTCAGCCTTTAATGGACAGCGTCATTCTCTACCTACCGTCACCTACGAATTTAGATCGATTTAATCCATATCGATGCTTTGAGAATAATTTAGCAGCCAGAGTCTTCAAGATTGTTCATGACAAGCAAAGGGGATCAATTACTTTTTTCAGGATCTATTCTGGCAATATGAAGAAAGGTCAAAAACTGTATAATGTAACGCGTGAGCAAAGCGAACAGTGTACTCGTCTATACATTGCTTGCGCTGACGATTACGAGGAGGTAACCGAAGTGAGTTACGGTAATATCGCGGCTGTAAGTGGACTAAAGAGTACTATCACGGGCGATCTAGTAACGACAAGCCAATCTGTAGGCAATCACGCTAAACAAATTATGCTGAAGAAGGACCCGAACCGATTAGACTATGTAAACAACTTCTTTGCATCTGGAGTAAACTTGCTCGATCCAGTTTTTTTCTGTTCTATAGAACCGCCCTCCCTTTCGGCACAATCTGCCCTGGAGACTGCTCTTCAGGAACTGCAGAGAGAGGATTCTAGTCTGCACGTGAAAAACGATCCAGAGACGGAACAGATTGTTCTCGGAGGGATGGGAGAGCTGCACATAGATATCATTAAACAAAGAATCAGGACAGAGTATAAGATTGATGTGGATCTGGGTCCCTTGCAAATCGCTTATAAGGAAACGATTCAAGATGCCGTTAAAGATACACTATGTCTGGAGCACAAGATGGGCCATACGACGCATAAAGTTACTATCACTATGTCTTTAATACCTAATTATGAGGGAAAAGAAAAATTGCTTCTGGACAGGTCTCCAGATAATGCTTCGAATATCGATAGTATTCATCCACGAGCAATAAGCGCGATTAAAAACGGTGTGAACGCTGCATTGCTACATGGTGTGAAATTAAATTGTCCGGTGATTAATGTTGGCGTCAAGCTCCACTGGCTGGAGGTAGCACGCGGTACCTCAGATACCATTATTTCTGCCGCTGTCTCACAATGCATTCGAAAGGTCGGTGTATATGATCTCCAAATAAGTTCTATTAGTTCTACAATAATATTATTTGATGTTCATGATTTTATATATATAATCATTGCATATTATATCATTATAAAAAAAGGGCATATTATTATGTTGCATTTAAGTAAATACGGAGATTTTATATTTTTTAATTTAATAGGATGTTTAAATGACAATATTTTTCATATGTGCAGTTATTTCAAGATGGAAATAGCATGTTATTAGAACCCATAATGCAACTGGAAATCATTACACCAGAGGAATATTCATCGAGTATCAATGCTGATCTTACTCGTAGACGAGCAGTAATACAACAAATTGATATGCGTGGCAATAATAAAGTGAATAAATTGTATAATTATTTTATTAATATTATTTGACAAACTGCGACTAAATTTGTATCTCATTTCATAGGTGATCAGAACTCTCGCGCCACTATCGGAATTATTGGGATATTCAACAACATTGAGAATCATCACATCGGGCAATGCAATGTTTTCATTGGAATTTAATGACTATCAACTAATGACTCCTATCAACGAAAAACAAGCTATCGAAAAAATTAAAGGATTTTAAAATGAATACTACTTCTATTGATAGTAGAAGCAATGAACAGAGAGATAATATTACTGAAAGTACAATTTCACTTCATTTTATTGACTCAATCTAATCAAAATATATTGCAACATTATCATTGGTGCGTTACAATCTCCATATACAATTCTCAATAGCGACTACTAAATATGATACAGAAAGCTTTTTATAATCAATCGGAGCAGAAAAATCGCTAGTTGGCTATCAGAAAATCATCATTACAGTTTTTATTCATGCATCATAACTAGTAGTCGCGCATAAATATATTAATATTGCTTAAGATCATGCAAAAATGTCATACGTCGTAAAATATATGTATATATTATATTGTATGGAGGGATTAAATGTTATAATGTCGTGTAAGACTGGAAAAACGACAGCCGCGTATAAAAATTTATGCTAACGCGGATAACACAAAAGCGAGATTTGCTTTTTAATGTCGCGAAAAAATATTGAAGAAAATTTAGGAATTCCCGCATTCGTGTAATTTTTATTCATCCGCCCTATAATATTAAATATACATTTAAATTATGCAAACTGTTGCTCTATCTTAAGCGCAATTCAAAGAGCTCTTAAGGCTCTTAATGTACTTAAAAGTTTGAGCTAAAATCTTGCTTTGTCTTATATTTTAAATTTTTATTTTCACAATAGAATTATAGTATAAAATTTCACTTGTCTCATTGAATCGCTTACAAAACGACAAATCTTACATTCATTATTTCTAATTCGTTATTTTAAACGTTAAATATACTTGTATCACTTGTATGCAGACATTATTGCTCATATCTGCGACAATTTCCTTTAAGGCGCAAATAGCTATCGTTTTTTTCTCTTCATACATGTTTCTCTTTCATCTTTCACAATTTTATATTTACAACAACAAAAAAAGATTATTTCATCATACAAAGTGACAATTCAAAATTTCAATTGACAAGATTCATTTCCCTCTTCTATGAAGAGGGAAATATTTCATATATATACAAAGTTACAATTAAAAATTTCAGATTGACAAATTGACATTCATCTACGAATAGAAAAATACTGAGTCAAATATCTATTCGCAGACTATTAAAATCTGAATACACAAATCTTTTCTAGATACGTGCTCGCAGTGCACGTAGAAATTTTGAAAGAAAGATACAATTGAAAAGAAAAAGCGTTAGCTATTTTATAAGCAAAATCGCGTGAAAGAATTTTTAAGAGTGATCAAAAATTTCGTTGAAAGAGCACGCGCATAATACTTCTGCTCCCCCTTGTAGAAATCCTTCGCGTCATGGTACTCCCGTTTTTATTCGGGATCATTCTCTTCGTTGGACCCGTGCTCCACCATGTCGTCGTGGCGTCACAAGCTTACAAGCTTTGGAGGATTCGCATCTGGGGAGCTGAGATCCACGGCGGACAAATTGCTTCTCTGTTGCGTCGAGCACGACGGTATCAGGGGCGTCGAGACCGGTGTGAGACCAGTACCACCTTCCATTAGGGACTCAAAATTAAACGGTATGCCGCTGGTTGGAGTGGTAATCGGCATACCGGCTACATCCATCGATGACTTCATGAAGGATGGTGTTTCTACCGTTTTGAAAGCAAGCGTGTCTGGTCTCTCTTTTGGCTCCACGAACATTGTCAGGGAATTCAATCTGTTATTGTTGTCCAATCCGACTGGTAATGAATTAGGTCTATTCGGTCTCGCCGCGGCTACCGTCGTGTCGCCTTTCACAGATTCGGCGGCAAATTGATCCTCGACCGAAAGATCGGTCTTTATCACGGGTTTTATATCCAGCGGCGACGAGGGGCGTAGCGAACGGCGACAGACTGCTCTGTGGGCGTCCAAAATAAATTCCAGTTCATCTTTGACCTGCTTCAGCTGTTCAATCTCATCCTGCAAGTTTTGCTTCTTTTTTTCCAAACCCTCGGTCTCCTACAAAAAAGATTAAAGATCTTTAGTGAATGTGAAGCTCTAAAGTGGCAACTCTAGACGCTCAATATTATTGATGCTTCTTTTAATTCAAAACAAAGTTTGGAGGCTCCAATATGGCTTGTAGACAATCGGTAATATATTGTGCAACATCAAATATTGTTCAATAATACTGATCGTCTAGGAACCGTTTAAAAATGTGAAAGCTATGAAGAAGACTGGAAAACTCAATATTCTAACTAAGTCACGCAACATTATGTCCATAATCTGCGTACTTACTTCGAGTAGGGCATTGGTGTGATCCATTCTTCGCTTGCGGCATCTCGCCGCTGCCATCTTGTTCCTTTCGCGCCGAATCTGTCGCCTCTGCTCTTCCTCGGGGGTCATCCCGATCGTTCTGGTGGGCCGCCTGCCACCCATATTGCGTCTAACTGGTTGCTGTTGCTGCTGCGGTTGTGTTTGCTGCTGGGTCTCGATAAGAGTGGTCGTCGGCGCCGGAAGATGTACCGCCGTTGTGTTTTGCGTCTGTGCTGGGGTCGGCTGTGACGGTTCGACCAACGGCGGCACAAAGCCGGCTTCACGACTGTGCGACGCTGACTCGCTTGTTAGCTCCAGGAACGTTTGCTCGATGCTGCGGAGGGTGGTCGGCGTCAGCGTCGGCGTCGTCCTGGTCGGCACTCCGCTATGTAATCCGTCCAGAGATACCAGCTTTAACATAAAGATAACAGACCGTGTTGATCGAAAGTGTATCCAAGATCTCTTTTATCAACGTTTACAATTTTTAATTATATTATTCATAATTATAACTACACTGAGAAAAATTTATAACTGAAAATGAACGAACCAAAAAATTCTGATTAAGTATATCAATCAGAGTTCTATTCTTCTGGTTATCTCAACTAGAATTATAATAGATTTAACCAGAAAATTCTTGTTTGAGTTGTTCATTTTCAACCAGAATTCCAATTAATACACTCGGGCTTTTTCCAGTGCAGTGTAAAGAACAATAGAATCTGATTTTATACCAAAATATTTCAGTGATAGTAGATAAGATTAATACAAATTTCACGAGTTATCGGGTGATGAACTAAACTGCAATGTTCACGAACGTTGGCACTCTAATAATGGATCTGAACATGGAGATAAACGCATAGCTTCTGTATAGAAAGTACCCGTGGAACCATTAATAACAATTGTATAAGCGGTTTAGTACAACTGTTAACAAGAGTCAACTGTTTACTTCTTGCTGTCTACTGTTCCAGTTTCGTTCCAAAATCACAGAAAGTGACGAACTACGTGATTTTGCGGTATAAAATTTGCTACGCCGTGTTCTTTCACCGGAAAGAAATTACTACTAACGTAGAGGTATCGCGTTATCTTCGACTTTCCAGGTCCGATATCAACCGGTTAATCTCAAGATGGTTTGATAAAAATATCCATGATCCAATACAGTCGATAACGTATCATCGCGCTAGCGAGATAGATCGCTCCTTCAGAGTTATGATTCCGCGCACGGTTATTGAAATTACAAAACGCTCACGTCTCGTGATTTAACTTCGCGAAAATATTCGCGCGTCTTTCCCTCGCGTTCCGCGTCTCCGGCGGTAATTTACAAACGCCGCGCCAGCGATACACGTGCGTTATAACGTTGCGCAATACTATAATTCTCATCGAATTAAAAACGTCGTTTCTATGCGGCGCGGTGGCGAGACGATAAAAAAGATTCGCGGTCACTCGAACGCGATTTCACCGCAAGAGAGGGGCAGGGGGAGGGGCATGGCAGAGGGAGAAGGGAGACGGACTTTACAAGACCGTCGTTCTCCACTTCTCCCTAACTACGACGGTATTAACGAGCAACTCGAATCGCAGCTCACGTAGCGACAACCTCGCGCGCCATTATCGCGCCGCCAATCGCCACAGTCGGGGACGTAATCTATACGCGTTGCGCGTTTCCCAGAAAACACAAAAGGACGCAGGAAGGAAAAGAGAAGCCCCGCGGCGTCCTTCGTTCTCCTGCGCGGGAGAGAAGACGTGCCGCGCGGCTCGCTATCATTTCTAAAATTACGAATCGCCATCCTCCGGCCGTTTAATGAAGGCCACCGCCGTCGACTTCGCCTCGCGATGAGAAACGTCGAATCACTGCGTACATTTAAGAAGTACGCAGGGCTAAAATCCACGATATTCATATAATCAAGAAAAAGCACCCAGTATCCCAACGTATTCACCTCTTCTATATTCTTCGAGATGTTATTTTAATTGAAAAGATGTCTTAATTGTCTCCTATTTCTAAACGTCTAATTCTAATCAATGAAATAGCACGCAGGGCAGTAATAATAGGTCTGTTCTTTTTAGCTAAAGTTCTTGCACGGTTCATCTTTTTTCCTTTTCTCTTTACGTTGGAAAGAAAAAGAGAAAAAATGAACTGTGCAAGACGTTCAGCTAAAAAGAACAGGCCTATAGTTTCGCGTATGATTTATACTGCGATTTATAACCTTCACGGTCACATTACAATGAAAAAATTTTGCTTTGCGTCGACATATAAAATATGCAAAGCAATAGTTTTTAACATGGTTATTTTGTATGTATAATAACAAAGCAAAATAACCATGTTAAAAAATCTAATTAAGAGAAAATTTTTTTGGTCTTGAAATACAATCATGAGCAGAAATAGTGACATCACTTATTAAATTGACAAGCAATTTAATATCTTTTGATGCTAATAAGCATCTTTATAAAAATGTTAATAATCTGACGTTAATGAGAATTTTAAATCTGTAAATAATGTTTAAAAAATAATGTTTTGACATGCTGATGCAAAACAAGATTTTTTTTTTATACGCAGTATCGATTAGTGCATCTTTTTCGATGAGATGCTTTAAGACGAGAGAAAATACCGTAGGCAGGCGCTTTAAGTGTCATCGCTAAAATTACTTAGCGCAGCTCGGAACGGCTTCGCCGATTTCGGCCGTCGTCGTTTGGCCACCCACCGACCGGCCACGCTTCTCGCACCCATCGCAAACCATCATGCGGGGAACTTAAGGAATGTCCGGAGCGTTAAACTTAGGCGTTACCGAATCGTGTTCGTACACGTATCGGCGTCACGGTCACTGGAATTCCAATCCTGTGTGAGAAAATGCCGAAGGTAATCCTGGAAATTACAGAAATTGCCGGGAGCGATCCATCGATTGATCGACAGAAATCGTAATGTTCGCATATCCTTGCTCTTTCCCGAAATCAGTGATTTTCATTATTTAATAAATCATTAGCAAGCTTGGAAACGATATCGTGCCGCGATCAGAAGAGTGTTACAATTTTTGAAAGAGAGAACTTTTAACTCTCCGCTCCATCTGCAATCTGGATTTTTTTTGGTACGAGCGAAATTTTACTATCAAATTTCTCCGAAATAAAGAAGGATAAAGTCTAATTCGCTTACTGCTAAGTTACACACATTTTTAAACAAATTTTCCATTCTTCCTTATTTTTGTTCAAATTTCAATTAATTAAAGGTTTTAAGTTTAAAGATCCAAATTGCAGACGGAGGGAGTAAAAATATGATTACAAATAGAGAGTTAGAGTGCAAAAAATTGCAAATCTTGACGTTACATTAGTCATTAATTACGATTTTATATGTCCAGTGGGATTGCACAACTTCGTCTTATTGTGCGATTTTTGTCGATTCTGCGATTGATAAGATATAGCATAATAAACATGTTATTTCACAATTTTTGCTTATGATTTATTGTTGAAGTTGTTTACATTATATATTTGAAGATATTAATCGTTAGAACAAAATATCTTATCTACAAAATCAATTACTTTTTTCGCTAGCCAAGTTTTTTCGAATCTTGATCAATTTTCTCGATCTCCACGGCAATGTAAAATTTTAACTAAAAAAAAATTATTTTTTGTAAATCTTACGCGGTCTGCAATATGGGTTGCTGAGAGTACAGACATAGCTTCTATTCGTCTTTACAACGAAATAAACAACTGGATACTGGGGTCCTACATCATCTCGACGTTACTAAGTTTGTTAGGAGGCAATATCGAATCCCCCCCGCTATCTATTCTTTTTCTCTTAAAATCTACAATAAAAAAGTCTATGTATCTTAAAAAAACCCCATATTATTGATGGAGGGTTAATTTAATTACGGCATCTTTTTCAGCATGGGCACCTTGCAATTTGGCACGACAGAAAATTTTTAATCGCAGGAATGAATTCCGTTTTTGACTAAGTTATTATGAGAAGATGAATTTCGAGAATCTTCGAGAGCAAATCGACTTATCAGGCGTTATTTGATTTCTGCCGAAAACAGATACGCTGAAGAATCACGCGATGAGATTCGATAAGCGGGACATTGACAGGATAACCATGGCTTTTAATATATTCATAGTGGGATATAAACTGAGAAATCTATTTTCAGGAATCAGGATCTATTTTCGAAATCATCTATTTTCTTATTCAAAATTTAAATGCGGGGAAAAAGAAAATTTTCGGTAGAAAAAGCAAGAATTGATAAAAAGATATTTACAAGATCAAGAGATGGTCTCTTATTTATGACTATCGCCGAACTGACAGCTTCCGGTCATTCTCGACGGCCTTCGGGCCGTTCACCTTGCTCCGCATTGTTCGTCGCGAGATCACTCGGAACATCGTTCATTCGAACGGTGTCATTATATGCGCGCGTGCATCACAGCATCGACTTCTTCCCTCACCCGAACGTGAATCACATTCGCACACCACGCGCGACGATCCCCCTCTCGGTACCTTTGTTCAAGCATATTTCAATACTCCGTGCACATCACGCGATATGCACAATACTGCAACTGCTCGTGTAGAAAAAAAATATGTTCGTGCCTCTTTTCATAACATCCGAACATAATAAAATCTAAAAGACGCGTTAACGATGCAAATGTTTTAATTATAAAACAATTGAATTTTGGAATGGAATTAGACGCCATTTTTTCCATTACCTACATTTTTACATACATTTATGTTTTTCTGACGATTTCAAATTAAAACTTTATCAAAATATAATCCACGTAACAATTATTTATAATTTATATACTAAATTCGTGTGAAAAACTAATGATTTCAAGCAATTAAATATATAAATTAAAAAATAATTCTTACTTAGTGGATAATAATGTAATAAAATTTTAATTTCAAAAGAATCATTACACAAACATATGAATGTTAAAACGTGAAAAAAAATTGCGTTTAATCCAATTCCACAGAAATCTGCTCCGAATTAGTGCAACGAGTAAAGTACGGCATTCGTTTTACGGCATCTAGTACACGTAGATCGACATACGCGATAATTGATATTCGTTGCGATCACAGCCGCTGATGTAACGAAAAAAAAGCTCATTTATTCGCAGCGAACTACGCAGAATTTCGCGAATCGCTGGTGATCCGCGTTTACCGCGGAATTTTCTACTCCGAGATGGAGCAAGAACGAGCGTGCGCGACGTCGCGCTTTTTTTCATAAAGCCGACGGCTGTTGGCATGCACGCGTCTTCCGTTTTGCGTTGCGGTTCGTACTCGCTCGCTCGTTCTCTCCTCCACACATGTGCGCACACGTGCGACAACGACACGAACGCACGCACACGTATGTATGCCGGACACGTACGGCGGGCGCGCGCACGCGGTCCGCAATTCTATAAATAAATATATATATACGTTTGCTGGTCTCTCTAATCTGTCCTGAACGCGCGTCGCGAGTCTATGGACAAAGGACGATATCAGCCAGCAGAAAATCGCGTTGCGAAACGCGTATCCAGATAATAGCCGCGCGGTCGTTCTCGCTCCGAAACGCGGCAAGAAGCGCGCAAAAACGAGTTAGCGAGCGCGCCCCGCATCGCAACGCATCACATCGCATCACATCGCATCGCCACTCGTGTAATTCTATACCGCGGAAAATAGATCCTCGGCTAGAACGTCGCTTCCAGAACGAGGACGATAGACTAATTGTGCGATCGAATCCAGAAAGCACACTCGTGACCGCTCGCTATCGCGAGATATCGCGCGCTTATATGGCGATCGAGATATAAATCAATGGAAACGCGAGATATATGGGACTTGCAATTGCTCCTGTCAGAATACAAATTTCAGTTATGGACTTTCTATAATAAGCCGTTACCTAAGCTCTAAGTCTCAGGCCGTAAGAAATTGACGATCACAATCGATTATTCTTCTTATATTCGACTGTGACAAGTTCTACTTATTGTAGAATTTGTGTTATAGACGTATTATTAAAATACATATAATAAATTATTATTAAAATAATATAAAGTTATTAGTAAAATTATTATTAAAATAAAATTAAGTATTATTAAAATACACATAATTTAGTATGTTAAGACTTGTCCTATCATATCGCTTATGTACATAGTTTTTAAAAAGTGAGAATCAGACTTGTTAGAATAACTGTTCTATTATAATTTGTTATCACATGACAACGTCAGATTAATTGGCGATATTTGTTGGAAATGTCGCGACGTGCAGATTATTGGCCTTCGCGTGCGCAGGTCTAATAATGATTAAAACGTTTTGCAATTTTGTTGAGTCCTTAGCATATCATTTCTTTAGCCAAGTAGTTCTGAGAAAATCCCCGCACGTTAGAAATTTAAAATGTTTTACAATTTAAATAAATTGACGAGTCGAATTAAAAATTAAGGTATATATAATAACGTTTTTAATTTCAAAATATAAGTGTGAATATTCAATAATTTTTCTCTCTTAAAATAGAAAGATTAGTTAGCATAAAATTATAGATTTTCACTTTTTCCTATAATCCGAATAAAATTGTAGATGTCGGATTGGATTTTGAATATAAATAATCTGAACGTATTAAATAATCGAACTTGTCTCAAGATCCACAACGAATCACAAATTGGATTCGATTCACGTTTTATGATCCCTCTTATCAGACTTATTAATCAAATAATGGCCGACATAAACGATTCTCGGTACACTTGCGATAGTTTCACCGAGGCGGGTAGAACTTCCAACATTATTGCACAATGTTGCACAATTCCTCGCTCGTTCGCATCGCAATCATCATCCCGCATAAACCGAACATTCGTTCGCTCGCTCATTCCAAGACGAGCTTTCTCTCCTTCAAGTTCGCAGCAATTACGCGATTAGCTCGCTGCTTCGTTATTTGCGATCAAACGAAGCACGACGAAGACGGATTAGCTGATCTTTTGGCGAAAGCTTAGCTTTCGACGATTCGCAATTAATCGAGAATGAAGACGTGAATGAAGCGCTCTCATCGAGCTTCGAAAGCGCGCCAGTCGCCGCGTTTATTTTCAGATCAGAAACGATCGTGGAGAACCTCCTCGCCTCTACGAGACCCTTTCCGACTTGGACAAAGAGCCACTTTATTCGCGCCACGCGATCACAATGAGATCGAATATCGCCCCCGTCAAAATGTATCCATCTCAGAGTTTACATGACGTCGTCAACGTGTGCGGTAAATATTTTTCGAATTCTCTCGCCCGCACGTATCAAAAATGACATTAAATAGCGAGAAAAATATTTGTTAGATAATGGATAATAAACGAAGATTTTTTTCTAAAAATAATTAGCTTGTAATTTATTTTTTTGCCGCAACGAGTTGCCCCAAGAATAAATAAAAATTGCATCTTTCATCTTATACTTGTCTAAAATTGATTAAAAGTATCTTATACTCATTCCACGGAAAATTATAATATTTTGCAAGTTTAGGTGAAACATGTTATAAAATTAGATTCAACGGGTTTATAATGGAAGAACACGCTGATTATCTGATGTATCTTCTGAAATAGCGTGCAGCTTATCTTTCTTGTACAAATTACAATAATACTTCGCTTCGTATTGGAAAATCTTCGCGCTCGAGAGATGATTACCTGCTGATAAAGCAATTCCTGCGCAAGTATATTCGCAATGTCAACTGGGTCCATGGCGGTGGCTGCCATAGCTCGAGGGATCGGTTATTCGTTCAATGTTCGTTTGTTCGTCGTCGAAAATATGACGGTGAGAGATAATGCGTACGGGAAGTCGAGGAAGGGAATGGGGAAAGGGTTAACTGGAAGTGGGACTGGAAAAGCGGAAATAAATAATGAAGAATAAATGATATCTCAGTTGATCGTTCGTTCGTAGAAGATCGTTCGGGCGTCGGTGTGCGCTTCGTTCCTCCTGTCACGCTTCGCACCCCCTTCTTTATAAACCGCACCACCCTCGTGCGCTCGTTTCTTCTCACTTGTCGAAGAGTTCGTCGTCACCACTGCGTCCTCCACCGACGCCTCTTTAACACTGAGCGAGCGACGCCGACGCCGCTCGTCGTGGCCTTACGCGACGACGAAACTCATCCTAAAAATAACCTTCGAATTTCGAGTATGTGCGCTCCGCGATGTACGCGATGAAGGAGAGAAAGAAGAAGAATAAGTGGGAAAAATAACATTTTGCAGCTTCGTTGGTCTCACGTGCATGGACCATTGACCGCTAAAAAAATCCTTATGCGCTTATGAACTTGTGTATCGTTTTTAAAAGACAATCGATCGTAATTTGGATCAGATTATAAATAGAGAATAAGATATTAATATAAGAATTATTAAAAAAGCAAATATATATCTAATTGTAATAATTATTAATTAATTTTACATGATTATTATTGTCATACTTATATATATTTAAAATTGTGATACACTTTATTTAGTGTAAACCGTCGATTATTTTGTCATTCATAACAAAGAACAGTAAGTTTCGATTATTTATGTAATGCAAAAGTATGGAAATTTTTTTTAGAAAAAAAGAGCCGGCGAGACGATGACTTTACTCCCGATCAGTGGTTTTCCCGGCGTGAAATTCCCTGTTACGCGGCCGCTCGCTGTCTGGAAGGCCTTAATTAGTTCGAGTTCTAAGTTTAACACCTGTGTAGGATCGTTTGTCGTCGACGCCGGTACTTGTGGATTCGTCGACTTGGACTTTGGCCAAAAGATCTTCCGCCACCGATCTCAAACGTTCGTAACGCTTCAATTTCGAGATATCAGAAAGACGCGTGAATTAACGACCGATGCATCTATCATTCGCATACTTTCGCATCAGCATATACAAAAAAAAAGTTGCTCGTCTACTTAAATCAGATTGGCTATATCGTTCAAATAATTGTCAAGTTAATTTTAAAAAATATAACAACCGTAACAACATCTACATTTTAATATATATTTTTAGAAAATAAACATTCTAATTAAAAAATTATTTTAAAATATTAATTAAAATGTGTTTGTATCATAAAACTATTTGAACTATCTGAACAAATATATAAATTTATCTTTTTAAGTATTATGTGTATTTTTTGTGTATATTTCTTTTCCGTTGTAATTTATATGTTGTTTTTAATATGCTGGAGAAACCAGCAGAGAATCGAAGGCTTAAAACGGTCGCGTCATACTGGATGGAGTTGTTTGTCTATCTCGCTGGACATTTCCAGGATGCGGCTTCCTCGTATCGTTAAGAAACTGTGTGGCGTCGCAACGATATCGAGGTTTACTTTAAAAATATTTCGGATTGTTGTTTTTCGACAGAAATCTTAAATATAAAGTCTGAAAAACAGCTCGGTAAAATCAAGAAATGTATAATTTAGATATAAACAATTAGACCTGTTAATATAAAATTAAAAAATTAAACTTGCTCGGTCAATAAATTAAAAATTTATTATTATACGGTACTATAAAAGTTAATATATTGATTCTAAATAAATTACATAGAATCTTTTTTCTTATATACACGGTTTGATTCTTCTTATCAAGAAACTAATATGTCGTTAAAATCTATTCGCTTTTGTGTCATTCGGAAGGGAAGCTATGAACACGGTACGGACATTCAAAACCAGGCTTATCTCGCCTTGATATGAAAACACGTGGTAACCAGGTTATGATAAACAATCTGCGTGTTTGACCAGCCGAGCCTGTCACAGGTTTCGCCAACACTAAACACACGTCGCTTGTGTGCGACGATTATTGTGCGTGAAAAAATTGCCATACACTCATGACGTTACTAGAAAAATTTAACGTCCGAAGTATGTAAATTTCCAACGGTATTCGGAATATTTCCAATCCGACGAGAAAAGGAAACGAGCTTTCATTTTTATGACCTTTCAAAATAGTTTAATTACGTTCTATTTTCTTGATATTTCCAAGATTAAAATTTTATTTCTTTTAATGCCACATTAATTTTACGTCATTCTTAATCCTCATTTCTGAATATTTCGTACTATTCTTATCCACATGAAATTACTACATATAAAATATCATTTTTTTAAAACAATATTTTTTAAACAAAATAAATAGGTAGTAATGAAGGTTGGAATTATTCTAGGCGTAAGTAACCGGTCTTTGTGATTGGATCATTTCTTTTTATTGGATCACGTTCGTGGCGAAGATTATATTTATTTTTATGTAATGCAACGCGTGATTACGCAACAAACAGTAAACGAGTAAATCGACCAAGCACTGCGCAATATTTATTTATGCGTCTATCGCATTCTTTCTCTTTCTTTCTCTCTCTCTCTCTCTCTCTCTCTCTCTCTCTCTCTCTTCCTATGTTTTTGCTGCCCTTCGCACACACGGTTAATTATGCCATGGATATTACGCGGTAAATAATAACGCAACTACGTCAGAATAGCGTGTTCTATGCGAACGCCGGAAAAAGTGCGGTTGAAAGCCGCCACCGCTGTGGCCGCAAGAACGCAACCTTGGATAACAAAGGAACCTCTATCCTTTACTTCCATTTTTACTGTTTTTAACGCTTCCGTTTGCAAGATCCAATGCCTTCTTAATACCCGATTTCACAACTCGCTCGCGAACTCCCAATAGAGATAATAACAAATGGAGCATAGAAACATCATTTTTCATTTTTTTTTACCTCATTCTATTATGTACGTACTTTCAATTCACCTCGCGTAAACATGTTTTTAGTACCGATTATCTTTTTAGTACTGATATCATAACTCTTCCCGTGAATTCGTTAAACTTTCCGTTGATCGATAGAAGAAAAATTCAAAGTTAACGATGAATAAATCAATTCTATCGTATAATATTTGCGCGCATATGTTACAAGTTTATAGCGAGTTTCCGTGAGTTGAAAGGACGGTTTTCTTTCTACGATATGAACGTGTTGATGCCAGTGGTAGACGGAGAACAAAGAATGTAAACATGATAACGGACGCATGAGCGAGTAGTGTGTTCCGAATGCATCGCAACGACGCGGCCGTCTATATTGCGTGTGCGCGTAAAGTGCAACGTATGCAGATAGAGTATATTGCACTTAGAGGAAAATCCATGTACGTAATTTCATATGTGACCAAAAACTGATATACAATTGAAAGTAACGGAAAACAAGGCTGCAGCTTTATCACTGTTTTAACAAGCGAGAAAATGAAAAAATACGAGAAGAAAAAAGAAGTTATAATTGTACCATAGATTACAACGAATGTAACACGGAAAGAACGATTTTGTTGATTTGGAAGTTTAGTTAGATACTTTTTAAAATCTTTGGAGTGGAATTTAACTCTAAAGAGTGAAATCTCACCCTTAAAAATTAACAATTGAACCACTCTTTTTCAACTAGCTTAACTGTCGCTCTTTTCGTTATTCTTTTATTTATTAGATTCCATTCCAAAGATCATAAGAGTACAAATTTGAAAATAATTTTGTTCTGCTATCAAAATAATTATGTAGGATGCTCAAGCAATAATGCGACTTTCTACATAGATAGACAGAAATAAATAATGGCTTTGTTGAAGTACTATCTAAAAATTTAATTAAGATATAAATGTGAAAATAATTTTGTTGGACCATTAAAATAATTGTACAGGACGCTCAAGCTGATTGCTAGAATATCAAAACTTTTTGTAGATTGCTTATTATGTTTGAGTTTCCTACATAATTATTTTGACGATCCGATAAAATTATTTTCAGATCTGTACCTGACTTTTTAAATATACTTCAGCAAAATCATTCTTTCCATGTAATTTTTTATTATTTTATCAAGTACGATGCAGGAAAGAACGCTGTTTGAGCGCTATGTTGGCGCGATACTCAGCGAGATATTCAGAAAAACACAAAGCGCAATTGGGATTTCCCGGAAGATCCCTGGTTAGATCAGTACGCGATTTCGAGATCTGCTGTAACACCGTCGAGTAACGTCACGATTCAAAGCGACTGAAAATTCACTCCGAGCGAATTTTCTCAAGTTAATTAAGTCGTTGCGACAATTTCGCATCGTGCCACTTACTAAAATGCAACGTTTGATTCGTCGAGCAGATGCACGTAAGATATGCCATTATGCACTGCGATTATCTAGTATGATGTGACGTCAATCGGCGCGGCGATGTCGTCACTCGTTATTTTTTTTCAAATCGACAGCAAACGATATCGTGGAATCGTACGTTCCACTACAAATATTGACACACACACACAAATAGCATGCAATTTAATATAATTTATCTGCTCTCGAAAACTAATGCAATGATTAAAAACTGATTTTACGTGCAAATAATCACTGCTTATAACGCTGGTAAACGTTATGTATACATCGGTGTTAATTAATGGAATATATTTTGTTGCATGAAATGTTCCTATTTTATAATGCGACATTGCTTTATCTATGATCCTGGCGAAAATAAAAATTGGAGCAACATCTTGCAAAGAGGTGAAAATTGAAACAATGAAATGTAAAAGACGTGTTGACGCTTCTTTTATGTTATGTTATCTCAATTTTCGCCTTTTAAATACGGAAAAATACACACTATATTTTTACTAAATTAAAAATTAAATACAGATGCAAATAATCACTTGTGTCAAATATTTTAAAAGTTTATGTATCTGCAAATCCATCGTAGGTTTATCAAAACATCAAATTTATTCAAAATATATATGAATCCTAGTGAGAGATATTAATATTTCAATCAAGATTATTAAATTAAAACAAATTCAATTTATTTATTATATATACTAAAGTTGTTTCTTCAATAAATTTTATAATATTCTTGAAAGAAACTAAATTCTTATTTCGAGTACATATCAATATAAGTTTTTTTTTAAGTTCGTAATGAGTGTATTTTAAGATCATTATCAAGAAAATATTTCTTGTTAAAAATAACTGTTGTTTAAAAGAAAAAAAGTAAATTGAGCAATTATTTTTCTTGACAGTAGAACGGTAAAATTTTTCTGTGTGTAGAAGGTACTGCTCCGATTTTTATTTTCTCCAGAGGCAAAGACTTTAGTAAATACAAACTTTAGATAGCTATATATGAAGAACGAT